TAAAGAAAATGTCATCAAGAAATCGAAAAATCCATAATTCAAAAAATCGAAAATGTAAAATATCAAAAATTTGAAGAATAGAAAAAGTGAAAAATGTAATAAAAAATGAATAATCGAAAAATTGAAATCCCAAAACTCAACAGTCGAAAAATTGATAAACCGATAAATCGAAAAGTTAAAAATATAAGAAAATTGAAGAATCGAAAAACTGAAAAATCCCAAAAATAATATATCAGAAATCTGAGAAATCGAAAATTGAAAACATTTAAAAACTGAAAAATCAAGAGGTGTGAAACTTAAAAAATAGAAAAATTGAAAAAATCCAAAACTGAAACATTGAAAAATCGAAATCCGGAAATTCGAAAATTTGAAATCCGAAAATTCGAATAATTAAAAATCCAGAAATGGAAAAAAATTCACAAAATTGAAATGTTGAAAAATTGGGAAACCGAAAACTTGAAAAATCGAAACATCCAAAAATTAGATCTAAAAATCGAAAAATTAAAAAATTGACACATTCAGAAATCGAAATATCAAAAGATCGAAATACCGAGAGACCGAAATAGCCCAAAATCGAAGAACAAAAAATTTTAAAATTTACATTTAAAAAAAATTGAAAAATCGAAACATTGAAATCTTGATAAATCGGAGAATGGAAAAACTGAAAAATCGAAAAATTTATAAACTGAAAAATTGGAAAATTCAAAAATATAAGTTTAAAAGATCGCAAAACTGAAAAGTCAAAGAAAAACGGGAAATCAAAAAATGTAAAATTTAAACAATCGAAAATTTAAAGTATCACAAATTTGAGGAGTGAAAAAATAGAAAAATCCCAAAACTCAATTATTGAAAAATTGATAAATTAAAAAATCTAAACAAAAAATGAAGAATCGAAAAATTGAAACTGAAAATCAATCAATACATAAAGGAAAAGTCAAACATTTTTTAAATAGAAAAATTGAAAAACCGAAACGTCGAAATCTGAAGAGTCGAAAAATCGAAAGGTCGAGCAATTGAAAACTTGAAAAATCTGAAACCAAAAAAATCGAAAAATTTCCAAATATGAAATGTTGAAAAAATTAATAAATAAAAAATTTAAAAATACAGAAAATGTCATCGAGAAATCGAAATTCCATAATTCAAAAAATCGAAAATGTAAAATATCAAAAATTTGAAGAATAGAAAAAGTGAAAAAAGAGATAAAAAATGAAGAATCGAAAAAATTGAAATCCCAAAACTCAACAATCGACAAATTGATAAACCGATAAATCGAAAAATTAAAAATCCAAAAAAATTGAAGAATCGAAAAACTAAAATTTCCCAAAAATCTAAGAAATCGAAAAATAGAGATATAGAAATAGCTCAAAATCGAGAAATCAAAAGATGTGAAACTTAAAAAATAGAAAAATTGAAAAAATACAAAACTGAAACATTGAAAAATCGAAATCCGAAAATTTGAAAAATTAAAAAATCCAGAAATGGGAAAAAAATCACAAAATTGAAATGTTGAAAAATTGGGAAACCGAAAACTTGAAAAATCGAAACATCCAAAAATTAGATTTAAAAATAAAAAAATTGACACATTCAGAAATCGAAAGATCGAAATACCGAGCAACCGAAATAGCCCAAAATCGAAGAATAAAAAATTTGAAAATTTAAATTAAAAAAAAAAATAGAAAAATCGAAACATTGAAACCTTGATAAATCCGAGAATGGAAAAACTGAAAAATCAAAACAGAAACATGGAAAAATTTTAAAATCGAAACATTGAAAAATTAGGAGATCGAAAAATTGGACAATTGAAAAATTAAATTAAAAATAATCGAAAAATTGTGATAATCCAAAAATCAGGAAACGGAACAATCCAAAAATTGAATCGAAATCTTGACAAATCGGAAAATGGAAGAAGGCAAAAAACAAAAAATTTACAACCAAAAAAATTGGAAAATGAAAAATGTAAAGTTTAAAAAATCGAAATCTGGAACAAAAAAAAGGGAAATCAAAAATTTATAAAAATTGAAAAATTTAAAAAATTTAAAAATTCCAAACCTCAATTATCGAAAAACTGAATCAAAAAGCTCAAAAATTAAAACTGAAACATCGAAAAGTTTAGATATGGAAAAATTGAGAAATTGAAAAAGCTCAAAATGGAAAAATAAATATTTTAATTAAAAAAAAATCGATAAATGAAAAAATTGAAAAATCGAAAAATCTAAAATTTAAAAAATAAAAAATTAAACATTACAAAATTAAAAGTTGTAACATCGAAAAATGTGTCCAACAATTGAAGAATTGGAAAACTGAAAAGTTCCAAAACCTGAAAAAACATAAAATTGAAAAAGAATCGAAAAATTAAAAAATCGGGAAGTAGAAAATAACCCAAAATCTAAAAATAAAAGCTAAATTAAAATATCTATAAATCAAAAAATAGAAAAATCGAAAAATCAGGAAACTGAACTTACAATCGAAAAATCGAAACATTGAAATTTTGATAAATCAACTGAAAAATCGAAAAATGGAAAAACTGAAAAATTGAAAAATTTATAAACCGAAAAGTCAAAGAAACACGGGACATGAGAAAATGTAAAATTTAATAAAATTGAATTTAACGAATCAGAAATTTGAAGAAGAGAAAAATAGGAAAATTTCAAAACTCAATTGTGGAAAAATTGATAAATTAAAACTGAAAAAATGAAGAATCGAAAAGTGAAAAATTAAAACTGAACAAATTTAAAAATGAAAACATCGAAAAATTAGGAGATCGAAAAGTTGAAAAATTTAAACATCAAAAGATCGAAAAATCGAAATAGCACAAAATCGAAAAATTGTGATAAATCGAAAAATCAGGAAACCGAACAATCCAAAAATTGAAACATTTTTTCTCGATAAATCGGAAAATGGAAGAAGTGAAAAATCGAAAAACTGGAATAAAAATGTAAAATTTAAAAAATAAAAAAAATCAAACATTTTTTAAATAGAAAAATTGAAAAACCGAAACGTTGAAATCTGAAGAGTCGAAAAATCGAGAAGAAATTGAAAACGTGAAAAAATCGAAAACCAAAAAAAAGAGAAAAATTGAAAAATCCAAGAATGGAAACATTTCCAAATATGAAATGTTAAAAACACTGACACATTGAAAAATCGAAAAATTAAAAATTAAAAAATTGAAAAATAAAGAAACATCGAAAAATTTAAAATTCTAAACATCGAAAAATTAGGAGATTGAAGAATTGACACATGAGAAATCGAAAAATCAGGAAACCGAACAATAAAAAAATTGAAACATTTTTTCTCGATAAATCGGAAAATAGAAGAAGTGAAAAATCGGAAAACTGGAAAAAAATGTAAGATTTCAAAAATTCAAAAATTCCAAAACTATCGAAAAATTGACAAAAAATCGCAAACAAAAAGAACCAAAATACCGAAAAGTTTAAAAATGAGAAAATTGAAACATCGAAATAGCCCAAAATCGAAAAATAAAAATTTTAATTAAAAAAAAATCGATAAATGCAAAAATTTTAAAATCGGCAACATCGAAATCTCGATAAATAAAAAAATTGGAAAATTGAAATTGTAAAATTTAATAAATCGAAAAACCGAGAAGTCGAAAAATCATACATTCTAAAATTTAGAAAATCGAGAAATGAAAATATCAAAAAATTAAAGATTTGAAAAACGGAAAAATCTCAAAATTGAAACCGCAAAACAGAAATTGAAAAAACAAAAATTTTAAAAACCTAAAGATTGAGAAATTAAAAACTGAAAAGTTCCAAAACTGAAACATCGAAAGACCGAGAAATCGAAAAATAAAAAATCGAGAGAACTAAAATTTGAAAAGTCTAGAAATTGAAGACTCAAAAAATTTAAGTTTATTTCGACAGAACTTCCCTCTCTCCCAAAATGCATTACAAGAAATCCAGCTTTTTCAAAAAATTGTACGGTTTGATTTAAGATGATTAACGATTTACAATAAGCATTCAGCAGTTTCAAAATTAAGTTGCAAAATATTCCAAAAATCTGAGTCTGGGATGAAAACTTAACACAGATTTAGAGACAAGTGCATATATAAAATTAGGAACCAATTACTTCTACGATAACGATTTAAAAGCTTAATTAAAGTAAAAAATAAAAATTTTAATTAAGTTATTAAAATGTTATAATTTTCGCTTCAGGTAATAGATACCATTTCGTAGTAATTAGATATCAAAAACACGCATTTGTACATTTTACATTTTAAATCTACACGTTCAACATTTTCGTTTTATATGCCCCGAAGTTAATTTGAAATCATTTAACAATGCATTTACAAATTGCCGTTTCGTTTTTGACGTGAATTATTCGCCGCATTAATACGGAATCGGCGAAAATGGCTGTTTTGTTCTTTTGTTCATTCAAACTACCAATTTCAAACACAGTGCACATTTGCAGCAAACTTTGTAATTAAAAGCCCTTAATACATGCCCAACATTTTAATGTCAACAAAAGACCAATGTTATGAAGTTCAGTCTGTACTAAACAAACCGACGCGTAATAACCTAGCTGCTTTGTTAATTTTGAAAACTATTTCCGGAACTACTTTGCTTCGCTGTACAACATTTACCTCAGCACTCGCAACAAAGCTACAACTTTGGTTGCATTTGTTAATTAATAATTCTGATCACTTTAAAAGCGCTGATTTCATGCATATTCGAACACCGACTATCCACTTTGAACCACCTTCTTTCAGTGCTTTACTAACCTCTGAAACTTTAAATTCAGACTCCGAGACGCGACAGAATAATTCGTTATTAAATAAGTGTAATTCTCTGGAAATAGTAAATCAGCGTTAATAGAAACACACAGTTCGGGAAAAAATACATATTTCGTATCGTTTTATTGTCGAACGTTCAAAGTAAGTACCCTGGAAGAGCGATTCGACGCCTCCCGACCAGGTCGTTTGGTCGTTTTTGTAGTTCGCATTTAAAATGTGGGTTATTTGATCGCATTGTTTGGTGTTGTAGAGGTGCGACAAGAGGCCGTTCAACAAGCTCTCGCCCAGGCCATGCAAAACAGGCACAAACCGTCGATGCCGATGCCGTCCAAACGCACATCCGTTATGGCCCGCAGCCCTGACAGAGACCAACACGATTCCGGTAGGTGACTGACACCGCAAGTATCTACACAGATAACATTGTCTCAGCGACACGTTGTGTATTGTGCCGTTGTGTACAAAAAGTGCAGATAACTTACGGCGTCGATATTTTCATACAATGCCTTTTTTCGCTAAGAGAATGAAATAAAGGGAAAAACGGTGGGCGAAGTTCGGCTTTGTTCGCGAAGAGGTGCGATAAGGGAATGACAGAGATGAGATTGTTGGAGCCAGATTGGCGCGAGATTATTTTGATTTTGTTTTGGGGGGATTCGCGAGAATTGTTTAAACACGTAAAATTTATTTGTTAAATCTAGGCGTTCAAACTAGTTAAAAAATTGCCCCAACAAATCCTGCTTCTTCGAAAAAATATATTTTTTTGCGTTTTTTGTTTTCTGATTGTGTATATAAAGTAAAAACAATTTTTCATTTTCTTGTTTCGTCAGTTTCTCGATTTGCAATGTTTCGCGTTTTCAAGTTTAAATTTTTCAGTTTTTCAGTTTTCCAACTTTTGAGTTTTTCAATTTTCAGATTCTGCAATTTTTCGATTTGAGTTTCTCGGGTTTACAGTCTTTCGTTTCGGTTTCTTGTTTTCTTTGTTTTTTCAATTATTCAATTTTTCAGTGTTTCGATTGTATATTTTTTTTTTTCAATTTTTGTTTGTTCAATTTTACGATATACAACTCTTCGAGGTTTCATTTTTTAATTTTTTGGTTTTCGATTTTCCAAGTTTTTAATATTTTAAGTTTTAGAATTTCCAATTTTTCGATTTGAAATTTTTCATTTCAGTTGTTTTTCTTTTTTTATTGTGAAATTTTTCAATTTTTGGGTTTTCTAATTTTTCGATTTACAATTTTTTGATGTTTGATTTAAATAAGTAGGTATGTAATAATTTTTTTTTCATTTTTTCAATTTTACGAAAAATTAAACAATTTAAAAATCCAAAAATCGAAAATTTAGAAGTTCCAAAAATTGTACAATCAAAAATCTGAAACATCGGAAACATCGAAAGCTCAATAATTTAAAAAAATTGAAAAATCCTACAATCTAGAATTTAAAAAATCGAAAATCTAAAAATGAAAAAATTAAAGATTTGAAAAACGAGGAAATTTTAAAGCTGAAACATTAAAAAATTGAATAATTTAAAAAATGGAAAAATTGAACAATAAAAAATCAGAAAAATCGGACAATTGTAGCATTGCATAATTCAGGTATCAAAAAATTGAGGTATTGAAAGACCGAGAAATCGAATCATGTTTAAAATTCGAAAAATTGTAGAAGAATGGAAAAATGGAAAGTTCGTAAATCTGAATAATCAAAAAATACAAATGGAGAAATTGAAGAATCGAAACACTGAAAAATCCCAAAAGTAAAACTCGAAAAATTGAAAATTTCGTTTAAACATGCAATATTTTTTATAATTTATCATTTATTCATTCAACTTTTCAGTTTTTCGAATTATGATTTTCCAATTTTTCGATTTGCAATTTTTTGAGTTTTTTTCCCAACTTTTGGATGTTTCAATTGTTGGTTTTTGCAATTTATCGATTTGATGTTTCACGAATTTGCGATTTTTCAATTTCCAATTTTTCGTTTCTTTAGTTTTCTATTTGCAATTTTTCAGTTTTCCAACTTTTGAGTTTTTCAATTTTTAGATTTTGCAATTTTTCGACTTGAATTTATCGAGTTTGCAGTTTTTCGTTTCGGTTTTTTATTTTCTTTGTTTTTTTCAATTATTCAATTTGTCAATGTTTCCATTTAATTGTTTTTTTGTTTCTTCAATTTTACGATATACAACTTTTCGAGGTTTCATTTCTTAATTTTTTTAGTTTTCGATTTTCCAAGTTTTTAATATTATTTTAAGTTTTAGAATTTCCAATTTTTGGATTTTCTAATTTTTCGATTTACAATTTTTTGGTTTTTGATTTTTCAGCTTTTAGATTTTTAAGTCTCCGCTTCTCCAATTGTTAATTCGCAATTTTTCTGGTTTTTGTTTTAAATAAGTTGTCATATTTTTTTTTCATTTTTTAATGTTACGAGAAATTCAACAATTTAAAAATCCAAAAATCGAAAATCGAAAATTTATAAGTCCCAAAAATTGAAAAATCAGAAAATTGAACAATAAAAAATCTGAAAAGTCGGGAACATCGAAAGCTCGATAAACTGAAAAATAGAAAAATTGGAAAATCGTACAATCTAGAATTTAAAAATCGAAAATCTAAACATCAGAAAATTAAAGATTTGAAAAACGAGGAAATCTTGAGTTGAAACATTGAAAAATTGAGAAATTGGATAATTTAAAAAATGGAAAAATTGAATAATAAAAAAATCAGAAAAATCGGACATTTGTAACATTGAAAAATTGAAATATCAAAAAACTAAAAATCGAAAAATTGAAAATCAAGAAATTTCGTTTTAAACATGTAATATTTTTTATAATTTTTCATTTATTCATTCAACTTCTCAGTTTTTCGAATTATGATTTTCTAATTTTTCGATTTGCAATTTTTTGAGTTTTTTTCCCAACTTTTGGATGTTTCAATTGTTGGCTTTTGCAATTTATCGACTTGATGTTTCACGAATTTGCGATTTTTCAATTTCCAATTGTTGGTGTCGCGTTTGTATTTTTTAATTTTTTTAGTTATTCGATTTTTCAATTTTTCGTTTCTTTAGTTTTCTATTTGCAATTTTTCAGTTTTCCAACTTTTGAGTTTTTCAATTTTTAGATTTTGCAATTTTTCGACTTGAATTTATCGAGTTTGCAGTTTTTCGTTTCGGTTTTTTATTTTCTTTGTTTTTTCAGTTATTCAATTTGTCAATGTTTCGATTTAATTTTTTTTTTTTTCCAAAGAAATTATTCATTTTTTTTTTGTTTCTTCAATTTTACGATATACAACTTTTCGAGATTTCATTTCTTAATTTTTCAGTTTTCGATTTTCCAAGTTTTTAATATTATTTTTAAGTTTTAGAAATTCCAATTTTTCGATTCGCAGTATCACGTTTTCAATTTTTAGTTTTTCATTTTTTCGATTTACAATTTTTTGTTTCGATTTTTTATTTTCTTTGTTTGGTTTTTGAGTGTTCAGTTTTTATCATTTTTCTTTTTTTTAATGTGAAATTTTTCAATTTTTGGATTTTCTAATTTTTCGATTTACAATTTTTTGGTTTTTGATTTTTCAGCTTTAAGGTTTTTTAGTCTTCGCTTCTCCAATTTTTAATTCGCAATTTTTCTGGTTTTTGTTTTAAATAAGTATGTAATATTTTTTTTATTTTTAATTTTTTCAATGTTACGAGAAATTAAACAATTTGAAAATCGAACATTTAGAATTCCCAAAAACTGAAAAATCGGAAAATTGAACAATAAAAAATCTGAAAAATCGGGAACATCGAAAGCTCGATAAATCGAAAAATAGAAACATTGGAAAATCGTACAATCTAGAATTTAAAAAATCGAAAATCTAAACATCAAAATATTAAATTGAAAAACGAGGAAATCTTAAAGTTGAAACATTGAAAAATTGAGAAATTGGATAATTTAAAAAATGGAAAAATTGAACAATAAAAAAATCAGAAAAATCGGACATTTGTAACATTGAAAAATTGAAATATCAAAAAACTAGAAATCGAAAAATTGAAAATCAAGAAATTTCGTTTTAAACATGTAACATTTTTTATAATTTTTCATTTATTCATTCAACTTTTCAATTTTTCGATTTGCAATTTTTTGAGTTTTTTTTCCCAACTTTTGGATGTTTCAATTGTTGGCTTTTGCAATTTTTCGATTTGATGTTTCACGAATGTGCGATTTTTCGATTTGCAATTTTTGGTTTCACGTTTGTATTTTTTTATTGTTTCAGTTAGTGGAGTTTTCAATTTTTCGTTTTTTTAGTTTTCTGTTTGTAATTTTTTAGTTTTTCGAATTTCCAAATTTGTATGTTTCAATTATTAGATTTTGCAGTTTTTCGATTTGCTATTTCACGAGTTTTCAGTATTTCAATTTTTCAATTTTTCAACTTTTTTAATTTTTGGTTTCATCAATTTTTGATTTGCATTTTTTTAATTTTCGTTTTAAATATCCAATAAAAATGATTTTTAAAATTTTTCACTTTTTGTGTACCTATTGGAGTTTTGAATTTTTCAATTTGCAATTTTTCGTTTCGGTTTTTTATTTGCTTTATTTTTTCAATTTTACGAAATGCAACACTTTCGAGTTTTCATTTTTAAATTTTTCAGTTTTTTGTTTTCCAAATTTTGGTTTCTTCAATTTTCAGATTTTGCAATTTTTCGATTTGCACTTTCAGGAGTTTTAAAATTTTCGTTTCGGTTTTCTATTTTCTCAATTTTTTCAATTTTTGAGTTTTTCAATTTTCGGTTTTCAACTTTTAGATTTTTTGATTTTTCGTTTTTCAATTTTAGATTTTTTGGTTTCTCGATTTTTGAGTTTTCCCCCTTCAATTTTTGACTTGCAGATTTTATAGTTTTCATTTTAAATATGTAATAATTTTGATTAAAAAAAAACACCTTTTCAATTTTACCTTTTCAGAATTTTTCGACCTTTGAATGTTGTAAATTTTCGACTTTAAAATCGAAACATTGAAATGTCAAAAACCGAGAAATCAAAAAATGTAAAATTTAAATAATCGATAGACTGAAAAATCAAAAATACGAGAAATCGAAAAATCCAACATTTAAAAAATCGAAAAATTAAAGTACCAAAAATTTGAAGAAAAATTGAAAATTTCCGAATCTCAGTTACCGACAAATTGATAAATTAAATAATCGAAAAAAAATTGAAGAATCGAAAAACTAAAAAATCCCAAAACTAAAACATTGAAAAATCATGAAATCGAAATAGCCCAAAATCAAAAAATGAGGAAACTAAACAATCGAAACATCGAAATTTGAACTTTTAAATTTTTTAATTTTTGGATTTTTCAGTTTTCTCGCCTTCAATTTTTGATTTGCAAATTTTCTAATTCTCATTTTAAAATGTAATAATAATTATAATTTTTAAACTTTTTCATTTATTCGATTTTTAAATGTTTCGACCTTTCAATGTTACAGATTTTCGACTTCAAAATCTGTAACATTGAAATCTTAATGAATGGAAAAATGGAAAAACTGAACAATCGAAAAATTTATAAACTGAAAATTGGAAAAGCGAAAAATGTAAAATCTAAAAAGTCGAAAAACTGAAATTTCAAAAAACCGTGAAATCAAAAAATGCAAAATTTAAAAAATCGAAATACTGAAAAATAAAAAAACGAGAAATCAAAAAATCTAACATTTAAAAACTGGAAAATGAAAGTATCAAAAATTCGAAGAAAAATTTAAAAATTCCGAAACTCAATTACCAAAAAACTGAAAAATCCCAGAACTGAAACTCGAAAAAAATTGAAAAATTGAAGCAATGAGAAATCAAAAAATCAAGAAATTGAAATAGCCCAAAATCGAAAAATTGTAATTTATAGTTAAAAAAATCGATAAATCAAAAAATCGGGAAACCCCTCTTCAATTTTTGATTTGAAAATTTTCTAGTTTAGGTAATAATTCTTATAATTTAAAAAAAAATCACTTTCAATTTTACGATTTTAAAATTTTTTGTATTTTTCATTTATTGGCTTTTAAAACTTTTTCATTTATTCGATTTTTCAATTTCTCCATATTTAATTTTTCAATTTTTCTACCTTTCAGTGTTAGAGTTTTTCGACTTCAGAATCTTGACGATTGGATATTTTTTCGGTTTTACAAAATTTTTAGGTTTTCCAATTGTTCGGTTTTTAAGTTTTTCCATTTTTAGTTTTTCAATGCTTAATTTTTCGCTTCTTCAGTTCTTCAATTTGCAGTTTTTCGATTTTTTCATTTCTTCTAATTTTTTAATTTTTCGAGTTTTGATTTTTCGATTTTTCAACTTTTCCATTGCAAAATTGTAAAATTGAAAAATCAAAAATTAAAAACGAAAAAGTATAAAATGCAAACTTTGAAAAATGTTGAAATTGTAAATCAATGATTTGAAAAATCGAAGAAACGAATAAGTGAAAATGTTGAAAATCAAAAAACGAAATATGCATTGTAAAATCGAAATACTCAAAAATTAAACAAATTGGAAAATCGGATAATTGGAAATCTTAAAATTACAAAATTGAAAAATTTTAAAATTGAAAAATCCAAGATTGAAAATTTGAAAAATTGAATAAAGGAACAATTACAAAATCGAAAGAAAGATAGATAAAGGAAATGAAAAAACAAAAAACTGTTAAAGAATGGAAAAAATTAAAATTAAAAAATCGGGAAAAGGAAAAATAATAAACCAAAAATTGTAATATCGAAAAATCGCAAAATTGTAAAAATTGCAAATCAAAAATATAAAGAACAAGAACAAACGAAAAATTCTGATATCAAAACATTGGTCGAAGATAAATAAATCCAGATTTTTCAAAAATTACAAGATATAAAATAAAGATATGTACGTAATGTTAAAATAAGTGTAAAGAAGCATGCTACACTTGTGTTGCAAGTGATTTTTTTCATTACAAAATTTTATGATGACGTCATCAACATTTTTTTGCAAAGACACATGCTTCAATTGGGATAGATGCAGTATTAATACTAATAATCACAGTACTATATTCCCAAGTTTTCAGGAAACTGGAGTGAGTCATTCTTGATTTTAATCAGTACAATAAATTGCCTCATTTGTTAATTTTTTTGAGTCACCCTGCATAAATAAATCTAAAATCTATTAGTACATTGATAATCACAATTATAGAATCATAATATTTTGCATTAACGAATAAATTTTTATTTTTTCCAAAAATCTGGATGTCTAGGGTGAAAACCGAAAACTGGAAAAGTGTGAAAACAGTAACCAGTGTATTACGTACAATTTATTGTAACGTATAATATCGTCGTGATTCATGGACATAAACTCTTGGTTATTGTTGTCCATGTTTGCTTTAATGCATTCCCATTTATATTCATGAATTGGAATCGTAATAACAAGTGAATGTTGGTTTATCATTTAAAGTTATTAATTAATTATAAACTCAGTTTTTCTAATTTTGTTGTTATTTGTATTGCCCAAATTGCATCAGCCACTTAGTCACTTCATAATCACACCTGATGTTATAATAAATAACCTTCCCATAACCATCATTCATTTGTCAGAACTTATGAAATTATTATCAAGATTGATCACCCGCATGAATCTTTAATTTAGATCAATTTTTCTGTTGTTCTTGTATAGTTTCGTGTTTATAGAACAACTTCATAAATCCTTAATTCCCATTCGAGCCACGCTCCCGTGTCATTCAAAGGACAAAGAAACCCATAATGAGTCACCATATTCCTCGCACTCAAATTATCCATTCATCGCCTCTAATTATTAGATCCTCTATTACATCTTCGTACGCACTCTCCTCCCATCCCCAATTAAAAAAAAACTCCAATCATTTCATCATTCCGCGCGAGTTACATCTTGATTACGTGAGACTTTCACGTCTGTATAACATGCCGAAGTGACTCATATATCCAGTCGAACGAACCAAACCAGTTATATGTTAGCTCATACGAACATTTCTTGTGGATGTACCCGGCGTGCCTCCTTAGGTGTAAAGTCGATTGTTTTCCAACGAGTACCATTTTCAGAGTCTTCGTCCGATGAAGACAGCATAGTGAATGAAGAAACGGTTGAAAGCACCCCAGAAAGGGAGAAAATCAAGGACCGGAGCACGCCCCAGATGTTCCCGCCGCCGCCTCTGTCGGACACCAGCAGCACGGGCTCGCCGCCCCCACTCCACCACAGATCCCGCATGCCGCCGCCGAACAACTGGGACCACAGGAGCAGGCAGGAGATCACCGACATCACGGACGTGTTGCAGAATTTTCACCCATGTAAGTCGTAGTCTCCTCAGGGCGCCGGCCGCGCTCCCGCTTTTTTCGGCCGGATCGTCAACGATCTCGGACGTTTCAGACTCGCAGCCGCCAGATGTCACGCACAACACAGCTCAAGGCGGCCGCAGAACGGCCGCCGATAGGGTCAACAGGTACGCCTCTTCGGCGTCCGACGACACCATGGGCACCGGGACCGGGCGGTGGAAGGTGTCCGCCAAAATACAGCAGCTACTCAACACACTCAAAAGGCCTAAGAGACGCCCCCTGCCGGAATTCTACGAAGACGACGACATCGAGTTAGAAATCGCCGCCAACCCCAAGGATCCCAACGCCCCCAAACCTGAAGGTAGGGACCGTTTTTCGCAGCAATTTGAGTGGAGACATGACGTCGTTAAGTCGATGTTCAGTCGTTTAAGACGTTCGAGTGTATTTACTAGACGGACGTGCGCTTATAACGAGCTCTCGAGGAATTTTATCCGACTTGCAGTTCGGAAAAGCTCTCCTGCGATCGTTGTTTGCTCGGAAATGGCCAAAGTTCCGAAAAGCTCTTTTCTTATTTATAATAGGTACGGCCCTGGCGGGGGATTCCACCTGCTACTCGTACAGTGTCATTTAAAGTCTATTTATACAGTTATCATGGTTTTTAACTTCGGAGAACAATGAAATTTTAATGGATATAGAAGTGACACTTTACGAATAAGAAGGGGTTAAAAAGTTTGTCGAAGACGGAAGTGCTGTTCGTCAAATACCCTCGCCGTACGGACAATATGAAATATATCTAAGCTCAGAAAAATGGAAAAGTACCTCGAAATCGAATAATAAATATTTTTTTTTTTAATGTAAAAATCGAAATACCGAGCTACTACATCATTAAAAAGACGATACTTAAAATATAGAAAAATCGAAACCAAAAAAAAACAAATCTGGAAATCGAAATGTCAAAAAATTTTAAAAACCAAAAACCGATATGACAAGAAATCAAAAAATCGGAAAATCGGTAAAAGTGAAATTTATAAAGCCGAAAAAATCAACAATCAAAAATTTTAAAATTCTTAAAACTGAAAAATAGAAATATAAAAATCGAAAAATTTAAAATATCAAAAAATTGAAAATCGACAAATCAAAAAGTCGAAAAATGGAAAACCGGAGAAATCGAAAAACTGATAAGTCAAAAAATTCAAAAATAGAAAAATTAATGTCGAAATATGGAAGAAAAATTGAAAAATCGAGAAATCAATGTCAAGTCAAGTCAAAAATACATTTATTCAAGCTGGCTGGTGGTACAGTTTTCCTTAAGATATTACATGATATGGTATGTGGGGCGCTGCTGAGGCTTAGGGCCTTTTCAGCGCAAATCAATGTCGAAAAATTGAAGTCAAAAAAATTTAAAAATCGAAAAGTTGATAAATCGGAAAAGTGAAGAATCGAACAATCGAGAAATTGAAATGACGAAAAATTGGAAATTGAAAATTCGAATCATCGAAAATCTTGAAAATCGAAAAATTCAAAAATCTACAACCCAGAAGCTAAAAAATTCAAACAAAAATATCCATGGATTGAAGAATTGAGAAAACGAAACTCAAATTTTAAAAGTTGAAAAATTAATATCGGAAGCAAAAATTGAAAAATCGGGAAATTTAAGTCGAAAAATCGAAGTAAAAAAATCGAAAAGTTGATAAATCGGAAAATGGTAGAATCGAACAATCGAGAAATTGAAAAACTCCAAAACTAAAATGACGAAAAATTGGGAAATTGAAAATTCGAATCATCGAAAATCTTGAGAATCGTAAAATTCCAAAAACTGCAACCCAGAAGCTAAAAAATTGAAGTATAAAAATATCCATGGATTGAAAAATTGAGAAAACGAAACTCAAATTTTAAAAGTTGAAAAGTTAATATCGGAAGCAAAAATTGAAAAATCGAGGAATTCAGTCGAAAAATCGAAGTCAAAAAATTTAAAAAATCGAAAAGTTGATAAATCGGAAAATGGAAGAATCGAACAAACGAGAAATTGAGAAACTCCAAAACTGAAATGACGAAAAATTGGGAAATTGAAAATTCGAATCATCGAAAATTTTGAAAATCGAAAAATTCAAAAATCTACAACCCAGAAGCTAAAAAATTGAAATATAAAAATATCCATGGATTGAAAAATTGAGAAAACGAAACTCAAATTTTAGAAGTTGAAAAATTAATATCGGAAGCAAAAATTGAAAAATCGGGAAATTTAAGTCGAAAAATCGAAGTCAAAAAATTTTAAAAATCGAAAAGTTGATAAGTGGGAAAATGGAAGAATCGAACAATCGAGAAATTGAGAAACTCCAAAACTGAAATGACGAAAAATTTGGAAATTGAAAATTCGAATCATCTCGAAAATCTTGAAAATCGAAAAACTCACAAATCTACAACCCAGAAGCTAGAAAATTGAAATATAAAAATATCCATGGATTGAAAAATTGAGAAAACGAAACTCAAATTTTAAAAGTTGAAAAATTAATATCGGAAGCAAAAATTGAAAAATCGGGAAATTTAAGCCGAAAAATCGAAGTCAAAAAATTTTAAAAATCGAAAAGTTGATAAATCCGAAAATCGAACAATCGAGAAATTGAAAAAGTCCAAAACTGAAATGACGAAAAATTGGGAAATTGAAAATTCGAATCATCGAAAATCTTGAAAATCGAAAAATTCAAAAATCTACAAACCCAGAAGCTAAAAAATTGAAACATAAAAATAACCATGGATTGGAAAATTGAGAAAACGAAACTCAAATTTTAAAAGTTGAAAAATTAATATCGGAAGCAAAAATTGAAATATCGGGAAATCTAAGTCGAAAAATCGAAGTCAAAAAATTTTAAAAATCGAAAAGTTGATAAATCGGAAAATGGAAGAATCGAACAAACGAGAAATTGAGAAACTCCAAAACTGAAATGACGAAAAATTAGAAAATTGAAAATTCGAATCATCGAAAATTTTGACAATCGAAAAATTCAAAAATCCACAACCCAGAAACTAAAAAATTGAAACATAAAAATATCCATGGAATGAAAAATTGAGAAAACGAAACTCAAATTTTAAAAGTTGAAAAATTAATATGGGAAGCAAAAATTGAAAAATCGGGGAATTTAAGTCGAAAATTTTTAAAAATCGAAAAGTTGATAAATCGGAAAATGGAAGAATCGAACAATCGAGAAATTGAAAAACTCCAAAACTGAAATGACGAAAAAATGGGAAATTGAAAATTCGAATCATCGAAAATCTTGAAAATCGAAAAATTCCAAAAACTGCAACCCAGAAGCTAAAAAATTGAAATATAAAAATATCCATGGATTGAAAAATTGAGAAAACGAAACTCAAATTTAAAAGTTGAAAAATTAATATCGGAAGCAAAAATTGAAAAATCGGGAAATTTAAGTCGAAAAATCGAAGTCAAAAAATTTTAAAAATCGAAAAGTTGATAAGTGGGAAAATGGAAGAATCGAACAATCGAGAAATTGAGAAACTCCAAAACTGAAATGACGAAAAATTTGGAAATTGAAAATTCGAATCATCTCGAAAATCTTGAAAATCGAAAAACTCACAAATCTACAACCCAGAAGCTAGAAAATTGAAATATAAAAATATCCATGGATTGAAAAATTGAGAAAACGAAACTCAAATTTTAAAAGTTGAAAAATTAATATCGGAAGCAAAAATTGAAAAATCGGGAAATTTAAGCCGAAAAATCGAAGTCAAAAAATTTTAAAAATCGAAAAGTTGATAAATCCGAAAATCGAAGAATCGAACAATCGACAAATTGAGAAACTCCAAAACTGAAATGACGAAAAATTGGGACATTGAAAATTCAAATCATCGAAAATCTTGAGAATCGAAAAATTAAAAAATCTACAACCCAGAAACTAAAAAATTGAAACATAAAAATATCCATGGAATGAAAAATTGAGAAAACGAAACTCAAATTTTAAAAGTTGAAAAATTAATATCGGAAGCAAAAATTGAAAAATCGGGGAATTTAAGTCGAAAAATTTTTAAAATCGAAAAGTTGATAAATCGGAAAATGGAAGAATCGAACAATCGAGAAATTGAGAAACTCCAAAACTGAAATGACGAAAAAATGGGAAATTGAAAATTCGAATCATCGAAAATTTTGAAAATCGAAACATTCCAAAAACTGCAACCCAGAAGCTAAAAAATTGAAATATAAAAATATCCATTTAAAATATCAAAAAATTGAAAATCGAAAAATGAAAAAGTCGAAAAATGGAAATATTAATGTCGAAATATGGAAGAAAAATTCAAAAATCGAGAAATCAAAGTCGAAAATTGAAGTCAAAAAATTTTAAAAATCGAAAAGTTGATAAATCGGAAAATGGAAGAATCGAACAATCGAGAAATTGAGAAACTCCAAAACTGAAATGACGAAAAAATGGGAAATTGAAAATTCGAATCATCGAAAATTTTGAAAATCGAAAAATTCAAAAATCTACAACCCAGAAACTAAAAAATTGAAACATAAAAATATCCATGGAATGAAAAATTGAGAAAACGAAACTCAAATTTTAAAAGTTGAAAAATTAATATCGGAAGCAAAAATTGAAAAATCGGGGAATTTAAGTCGAAAAATTTTAAAAATCGAAAAGTTGATCGGCAAATGGAAGAATCGAAGAATCGAGAAATTGAAAAATTCCAAAACTGAAATGACGAAAAAATGGGAAATTGAAAATTCGAATCATCGAAAATCTTGAAAATCGAAAAATTCCAAAAACTGCAACCCAGAAGCTAAAAAATTGAAATATAAAAATATCCATGGATTGAAAAATTGAGAAAACGAAACTCAAATTTAAAAGTTGAAAAATTAATATCGGAAGCAAAAATTGAAAAATCGGGAAGTTTAAGTCGAAAAATCGAAGTCAAAAAATTTTAAAAATCGAAAAGTTGATAAATCCGAAAATCGAAGAATCGAACAATCGACAAATTGAGAAACTCCAAAACTGAAATGACGAAAAATTGGGAAATTGAAAATTCGAATCATCGAAAATCTTGAAAATCGAAAAATTCAAAAATTACAACTCAGAAGCTAAAAAATTGAAACAAAAAAATATCCATGGATTGAAAAATTGAGAAAACGAAACTCAAATTTAAAAGTTGAAAAATTAATATCGGAAGCAAAAATTGAATAAAATCGGAAAGTTTAAGTCGAAAAATCGAAGTCAAAAAATTTTAAAAATCGAAAAGTTGATAAATCCGAAAATCGAAGAACCGAACAATCGACAAATTGAGAAACTCCAAAACTGAAATGACGAAAAATTAGAAATTGAAAATTCGAATCATCGAAAATTTTGAAAATCGAAAAATTCAAAAATCTACAACCCAGAAACTAAAAAATTGAAACATAAAAATATCCATGGAATGAAAAATTGAGAAAACGAAACTCAAATTTTAAAAGTTGAAAAATTAATATCGGAAGCAAAAATTGAAAAATCGGGGAATTTAAGTCGAAAAATTTTTAAAATCGAAAAGTTGATAAATCGGAAAATGGAAGAATCGAACAATCGAGAAATTGAAAAACTCCAAAACTGAAATGACGAAAAAATGGGAAATTGAAAATTCGAATCATCGAAAATCTTGAAAATCGAAAAATTCCAAAAACTGCAACTCAGAAGCTAAAAAATTGAAATATAAAAATATCCATGGATTGAAAAATTGAGAAAACGAAACTCAAATTTAAAAGTTGAAAAATTAATATCGGAAGCAAAAATTGAAAAATCGGGAAGTTTAAGTCGAAAAATCGAAGTCAAAAAATTTTAAAAATCGAAAAGTTGATAAATCCGAAAATCGAAGAATCGAACAATCGACAAATTGAGAAACTCCAAAAGTGAAATGACAAAAAATGGGGAAATTGAAAATTCGAATCATCGAAAATCTTGAAGATCGAAAAATTCAAAAATCTACAACTCAGAAGCTAAAAAATTGAAACAAAAAAATATCCATGGATTGAAAAATTGAGAAAACGAAACTCAAATTTTAAAAGTTGAAAAATTTATATCGGAAGCAAAAATTGAAAAATCGGGGAATTTAAGTCGAAAAATCCAAGTCAAAAAATTTTAAAAATCGAAAAGTTGATAAATCGGAAAATCGAAGAATCGAACAATCGAGAAATTGAGAAACTCCAAAACTGAAATGATGAAAAATTGGGAAATTGAAAATTCGAAATCATCGAAAATCTTGAGAATCCAAAAATTAAAAAATCTACAACCCAGAAGCTAAAAAATTGAAACATAAAAATATCCATGGAATGAAAAATTGAGAAAACGAAACTCAAATTTTAAAAGTTGAAAAATTAATATCGGAAGCAAAAATTGAAAAATCGGGAAGTTTAAGTCGAAAAATCGAAGTCAAAAAATTTTAAAAATCGAAAAGTTGATAAATCCGAAAATCGAAGAATCGAACAATCGACAAATTGAGAAACTCCAAAACTGAAATGACGAAAAATTGGGAAATTGAAAATTCGAATCATCGAAAATCTTGAAAATCGAAAAATTCAAAAATCTACAACTCAGAAGCTAAAAAATTGAAACATAAAAATATCCATGGATTGAAAAATTGAGAAAACGAAACTCAAATTTTAAAAGTTGAAAAATTAATATTGGGAGCAAAAACTGAAAAATCTCAAAATGAAACATCCAAAAATTGAAAAATCGGGAAATGTAAGTCGAAAAATCGAAGTCAAAAAGTTTTAAAAACAGAAAAATTCAAATATCTAGAATTAAAAAATCGAAAAACTTCAAAACCGAAATGACGAAATATTGGGAAATTGATAAATTGAAAATTCCAAACATCGAAAAATTAAAAAATAAAAGTTCAGTGAACTGAAAAATCAAGAAATCGAAACTAACTTTTTAAAAATTGAAAAATTGGGAAATCGAAGTCGAAAAATCGAAGTCAAAAAATTTAAAAAATCGAACAATTGTTAATTGAAAAATAGTAAAACAGAAATCGAAAATCTAAAATTTCAAAAATCGAAAAATTGAAAGCTTGGATGATTGGAGAATCGAAAAACTCCAAAACTGAAATGACGAAAAATTGGGGAATTGAAAAACTGAATATTCTAAACATCGAAAAACTTGAAAATATAAATATAATTGAACTCAAAAATCGAGAAATCGCAGCTAAAATTAAAAAAAATGAAAAATTAATGTTGAAAATATGAAAGAAAAATAAAAAAATCTCAAAATGAAACATTGAGAAATCGAAAAACTGACAAATCCAAAATTAAAAAATCCTAAAATTGAGGCATGGAAAAATCCAGAAATTAAAAAAACTACAAAAGTAAAATGACGAGAAATTGGAAAATTGAAAATTCGAAACATGGAAAAACTTGAAAATCCAAAAATTAAATTTTTATGGACTGAAAAATCGAGAAAATGAACTTAAAATTTTAAAAGTTGAAAAATTAATATCGAAATGCGGAAGCAAAAATTGAAAAGTCGAAAAATTAAGAAATCGGGAAATCTGTGTCGAAAAATTGAAGTCAAAAAAATTTGAAAATCGAAAAATTTCAAAACTGAAATGACAAAAAATTGGGAAATTGAAAAACTGAAAAATCGAGAAATCCAAGTCAAAAAATCTAGGTCAAAACCCTTTAAAACTCGATAATTGATAAATAGAAAAACCGAGAAATGGAAAATCGAAAATTTAAAAAATTGAAAGTTGAAAAATGTAAAACTAGAAGTCACAAATTACAAAATAGAAACATCAATGAATTGAAAAATCCAGAAATCGAAACTAAAATTTTAAAAATTGCAAAATTAATATCGAAGTACGGAATAAAAATTTAAAAATCGAGAAATTGAAAAATTCCAAAACTGAAATGACGAAAAATTGGGAAATGGGATAATTGAAAATCCAAAAGATCGAAAAGCTTCAATATGAAAAATTAATATCGAAATATGGAAGAAAAATTGAAAAATCGAGAAGTCCAAGTCGAAAAATAGAAGTCAAAAAATTTAAAAAAATCGAAAAATTTTCTGGAAAATAGAAAAACCGAAAAATCTAAAAACCAAAATTTAAAAAATCGAAAAGTTGAAAAATCGGAAAATTGAAGAATCGAAAAATTCAGAAATGAAAAAACTCCAAAACTGAAATGACGAAAAATTGAGAAATTGAAAAATTGAAAATTCAAAACATCGAAAAATTGAGGAATCGAAAAATTAAAAAATTGAGAAATCCAAGTCGAAAAATCGAAACCAAAAAATCTTGAAAATCGCAACAGCTAAACTGATAAATCCAAAAATCTAAACTTTTTGATATTTGAAAAATAGAAAAACCGAGAACCCGAAAAACTCCAAAACTGAAATGACGAAAAAATGTGAAATTGTAAATTCGAAACATCGAAAAACTTGGATAAATCGAAAAAATAAAAAATCAAAAAATTCATAAATCTCAAACAAGTCAAAAAATTTCAAAACAGAAATATCATTAAACTGAAAAATCGAGAAATCGAAATTAAAATTTTAAAAATTGAAAAATTGATATCGAAATATGGAAGAAAAATTGAAAAATCGAGAAATCCAAGTCGAAAAATCAAAGTCAAAAAATTTCAAAAATCGGAAAATTAATAATTGAAAAATAGTAAAACCGAAAAATTAAAAATCAAAATTAAAAAATCGGAAAATTAAGAAATCGTGAAATCCAAGTGGAAAAATCGAAATCAAAAACTTTTAAAAATCAAAAAACCGAGAAATTGAAAATCTAAAATCTAAAAAACAGAGAATTTGAAAAATACCAAAACTGAAATGACAAAAATTGAGAATTTGAAAATGTAAAATTCGAAACAGAAAAATTGGAAAATCGAAAATTTAAAAATTAGAAAAACTGAAAAAATAAAAATATCAAAGAACTAAAAAACCAAAAAATCGAGAGAATCGAAAAAGTAAAAATCCAGAAGTCGAAAAATTGAAGAATGGAAAAGTTGAAAATAGCAAAACTGGAAGATCATAACATTGAAAAGTCAGAAATTAAAGTGGAAAAATTGGAAAGTTGAAAAATTTAAAAATCTAGAAATTGAAAAATCGACATTTCGAGAAGTCGAAATAGACCAAAATCGAAAAACCGGAAAGTTAAAAATAAAAAAGTTGAATTTAAAAAATTCGGTAAGTTGAAAAATTTAAAGTCAAAAAACCTAAAACCGAAGAGCCGAAAAATCGAAAATTGAATGATTCGAAAAATTGAAAAATGGAAATATCAGAACTCGAAGATTGAAAAATCGAAAAATCGAAAGGTCTAAAATTCTAAAATTAAAAAATTAAGATTTCGAATAATTGATAATTTAAGAAATTTAAAAACTGAAAGTTCGAAAAATTGAGCATCGAAAAATTGCAAAATCCCAAAACTGAAGCTTCGGAAAATTGAAAAATCAAGAAATTAAAAAATGGAAAATCCGAAGTCTAGACAAAAGTTCAACACGGATTCACAAACCACAAGTTTATATTACTTTTTTAACAATCAAAAAACATTTTTTCTACAAAATTCTGCAAAGCTTTGAACGTAACAACGGAAAAGAGAAATGTTAAGTAAATAACTGGATGGCAATACTAAAGTTACTACGATGATATGGTGGCAAATTCACATTATTGACACTCCAGAAAACAACCAACGTGCTACAGACTATTGACTCACCACATTTCTATGCCTAAAAAACCTGCCGCATATTGTACACTATACCCCGTCTTGACAAAACAATCAGCTATTTCCAATATAAATTGAAACTTAACATCTGTTGGGTTTTTTCGGAAAGGACTACGTATTCTCGGGTCGCAGAGAGCTTTTCGAAGTGGATTGGATATGATTATTAATTTTGTCTTAATGTCGAGAAACTATCGCTAGAACATTATTTTCGGTCGTCAGCGTACATTCCTGCTGAATGCCATTGTTTAGCATTAAGTTAAGTAAAGTTCCGTTCATAACCGGGCACCAATTTTCTTCCAGGCGGCTGCATGAGCCCCGCCATCGGCGAGCAACTAGTGGTACCATCTGGTCTGCCCCGAAGTCTCGAAGCCGCCATCACCCGCTACGGAAATGGCACTTTCAAGGCCCTCGTGGCCACCGTTCTCGACCCAAACGGCAAACTAACGAACAGTTTAACCTACGGCAAGCTACTGAGTCGTTCGCACAAAATCGCATACGCTCTCTTAACGAAGTCGTTCAGTAAAAACGGCGACACCAGCTTGAAATCAGGCGATCGAGTCGCTCTAGTCTACCCCAACAACGACCCGATCAACTTCCTCTGCGCCTTCTACGGCTGCCTCCAAGCCGGCATCGTCCCGGTCCCCATCGAGGTCCCGATCACGCGTCGCGACGCCGGCTCCCTCCAGATCGGCTTCCTCTTGGGCAGCTGCAGCGTGCAGGTGGCCCTCACCTCAGAAGCGTGTTTGAAGGGACTACCGAAAACCACGTCCGGCGAAGTGGTACAGTTCAAAGGGTGGCCGAGACTGACGTGGTTCGTGACGGAACACTTGACGAGGACCCCGAAGGACTGGACCCCGACGCCGAGACTGACAGATGAGACGCCGGCGTACATCGAGTATAGTACGGATAGGGACGGGTCGGTGATGGGGGTTACCATCACGAGGGCCGCGATGGTCAAACACTGTAGGATGCTCACCATGGCTTGTAATTACACAGAGGGTGAGAATATGGTGTGCGTCCTGGATTTTAAACGGGAAGTAGGACTGTGGCACTCAGTATTAAGTAGCGTGCTTAACGGAATGCACGTCATCTATATACCCTACGCGCTCATGAAGGTCAACCCGGCTAGTTGGATGCAGATGATTACGAAGTACCGGGCTTGCGTGGCGGTTGTCAAGTCGAGGGATCTTCATTGGGGGCTCTTGGCTACCAAGGACCACAAAGATATCAATTTGTCATCGCTAAGGATGCTTTTGGTGGCCGACGGGGCGAACCCGTGGTCCCTGAGCTCCTGCGACCAGTTCCTATCAGTATTCCAGCCGAAGGGGCTGCGACCAGACGCGATTTGCCCCTGCGCCAGCTCCAGCGAGGTGCTCACGGTATCGGTGAGGCGACCAGGCCGAGGTGGAGTCAACGCCACAGGCCGGGGGGTGCTCTCAATGCAGGGTTTGAGCTACGGGGTAGTCCGAGTAGACCAAGAGAACAGCTTAACCTCGCTGACCCTACAAGATTGCGGTCAAGTAATGCCAGGGTGTGTCATCGTCGTGGTGAAGATGGAGGGCCCGACGTATCTGTGCAAGACCGACGAAGTCGGAGAGATCTGCGTCAACTCAGGAGCTACCGGTACCCAATACTGGGGACTTCAAGGTACGTACATCTTCATTCTCGACGCCTCTTTACTAAAGTCCCCCAGGTCTCAGCAACAGCACCTTCAAAGTCCAGCCGCTCGGCTCCGACGGACAACCCATGTCCGACGCCGAGTACACCCGTTCCGGCTTGTTGGGCTTCCTCGGTCCCGGAGGTCTCGTCTTCGTGTGCGGCTCCCGCGACGGACTCATGACGGTGACCGGGCGCAAGCACAACGCCGACGACATCATCGCCACAGTCCTGGCCGTCGAGCCCATGAAGTTCATCTACCGAGGACGCATCGCCGTGTTCAGCATTAGGGTGCTGCGAGACGAGCGGATTTGCGTGATCGCCGAACAACGACCCGACTGCAGCGAGGAAGAGGTGCGGATTGCGACGGCAACGCTTCGCGTTTTGTTTAACTGTGTGTAATTGTTGCAGTCTTTCCAGTGGATGTCGCGCGTTTTGCAAGCCGTGGATTCCATACATCAAGTCGGTATTTATTGTCTGGCCCTCGTTCCACCCAATTTTCTACCGAAGACGCCGCTGGGGGGAATCCATCTCTCGGAAACTAAGAAGAGATTTATGGAGGGAGCTCTGCATCCGGCCAACGTTCTGATGTGTCCTCATACGTGCGTCACGAACTTACCGAAGCCGAGGGAAGTTCATTCAGGTAATTTGCGATTATTTTGACTAAGTAAGGGGGTTTCTGGCATGAGTTTAGACTAGGGGTTGAGTTTAATTGAGCTAGATTTATTGAGTTTGAAGAAAGGGAGGAACAGTGGCGCGGAAGGCGTGCGGGCGGCGCGGGGTACCTTGGGGACTGGGGGATGAGTCGAGTTTATATCGAAGGCAATCAGTTCGCCTGTATTGTGCGGTGTTGGTGTGGCACACATTACAGTAGAGGCGAAAATCCCTCGCATAGTGCGTGGTCTATACGTCAAACCAGTTCCCGGGTTGATATCGCGCGTGCGCGTGCACACGCCGCTCCACTGGGATAACCATGCCATTTTTTAATTTTCTCATTTTTGGTTAAGACTATGGGTTTGGTTTTACTGATTCCGCGGTCCACCAAACGGCGAACTCGACCGATCGGCAAGGTATGATTTGAACTTCCTTTGTCTCAAGTTAATTGTCCAATTAAAAAAAAAACGTGCATATTTCCTTTAAAAATGTGCACATTTTCAAGTTTTTCGTAGAAAGAGTCATACAATATACGAATATTCGTATTCTACAAGTTTTTTTTTGACACTAAATTAAATACAAAATGTTGCATAGAATTCTAACCTCAAATTCACTATTTGATAAGTTAAGTATTCTATTGATGAAAGAAAACTATATACTAAGGAAAAAAAAGCCAAAGATTAAAAGCCACCCATCCGCTCCGATCTCAGTTGTGATGAATTTTTGATTCGTTATCAGACTGGGGGGTGGAGCTTAATTACAAAATCGATGTTTCTCTACATATATTTATATCCCTATTATACCCCTAAGCACATGTTTCATTCGAAGGGCACATTTTTTATTTTATTTTTAATATTTTATATTTCGGGTACTATAAAATACTTGCTAAGAAAATACTGATTTTGGCAAATAACTTGCCCTGTAAAAAACAAAGGGCGGGTGGGTGGGGCTAGTACTTGTAGAGATGAGACTGATTTTGGCAAATGATATACCCTCAAAAAAATAGAGGGGGGTGGGCGGGGCTAGTATTTGCTAAGATAAGACTGAATAATATCAAGAATAGTCACCAGAATGAAGAAGAAGTGTAAAAAACTAAAATCCTACAACTTTCTTTTCAAGTTCTCTTCCTATATCAAATAGTTCGTGTTGGGTTTTCGTAAAGTGAAGTTCAAAAGTGTAAAAGTGTTTTAAGTTATAAGTACACCCTCCTTCTATTTTCCTGAGGGTATATCATTTGCCAGAATCAGTCTTATCTTAGCAAATACTAGCCCCGCCCACCCGCCCTCTGTTTTTTTAAAGAATATATCATCTGCCAAAATCAGTCTTATCTCTACAAGTACTAGCCCCACCCACCCGTCCTTTATTTTCTTAGAGGATACGTCATTTGCCAAAATCAGTCGTACCTTCGGAAGTACTAGCACCGCCCTCTATTTTCTTCTAAAATCTGAATTGTTATACCCCTAAGCACATGTTTCTTGCGAAGGGCACATTTTTTATTTTATTTTTAATATTTTATATTTCCGGTACTATAAAGTACTTGCTAAAATAAGACTGATTTTGGCAAATAACTTGCCCTGTAAAAAACAAAGGGCGGGTGGGTGGGGCTAGTACTTGTAGAGATGAGACTGATTTTGGCAGATGATATATTCTTTAAAAAAAGAGAGGGCGAGTGGGCGGGGCTTGTATTTGCTAAGATAAGAATGATTTTGGCAAATGATATACCCTCTAAAAAAATAGAGGGGGAGTGGGTGGGCCTAGTATTTGCTAAGATGAGACTGAATAATGTCAAGAGTAGTCACCAGAATGAAGAAAATGTGTAAAAAACTAAACTCCTACAACTTTCTTTTCGAGTTCTCTTCCTGTATCAATTAGTTCGTGTTGGGTTTTCGTAAAGTGATATTATTATAAATACTAACCCCGCCCACCCTCCTTTTCTTTTCTTGAGGGTATATCATTTGCCAGAATCAGTCTTATCTTAGCAAATACTAGCCCCGCCCACCCGCCCTCTGTTTTTTTAAAGAATATATCATCTGCCAAAATCAGTCTCATCTCTACAAGTACTGGCCCCACCCACCCGCCCTTTATTTTCTTAGAGGATACGTCATTTGCTAAAATCAGTCGTACCTTAGGAAGTACTAGCACCGCCCTCTATTTTCTTCTAAAATCTGAATTTTTTATACCCATAAGCACATGTTTCTTGCGTAGGGCACTTTCTTTATTATTAATATTTTATATTTCCTGTACTATAAAGTACTTGCTAAGATAAGACTGATTTTGGCAAATCATAAAGCCTCTAAGAAAATAGAGGGCGGGTGGGCGGGGCTAGTATTTTCTAAGATAAGACTGAACAATATCAAGAGCAGTCACTATAGAATGAAGGAGTGTAAAAAACTACCCCCCCCCCCCATTCTTTTCTCCATTTCAATGACTTATTTTATTCACTGTAAAATGTTAATTGAATTCTATTTTGAAAAACGGTAGAATCTAAGATTTAAAACAATGTCAGTAGTGGCCCTGCCCACTTACCCGTATTCCCTTTTGATCGCTCATTTTATTGGCTCTGAGATGGAAGTTGTAAAGCTATTGCTTGCTTAGAAAGACCCTGTAGAAAGTGATAAATTGATAGTTATAGTTTCCCCAGTTCTAATTCGCTTTTATAATGTGTAAAAGTTAACGTCCTTAACAAAATATTACTGCTGCCGGAGATGGGAGAGTAATAAGGATTTAATGATTATACAAGCCATGGTTGAATCCTTATTTATGATTATGATTCTGTTGTTAAGGAAGTTAACTTTTACACAGTGGGGTACTATCATAAAACCGAATTAGAACTGGGGAAACTATAACACAACCAACAGTATTCCATTCGAACTGGGGGATCAAGATAACAGTTGAGTTTTGGGTAAAAGGGTTGGGGAATTCCGTTATCAAAATGGCGATGATTCAATAACAGAAATCGATTTTTATAGTTAGGTTTGAAAATAATTAAAACATCCATTTACAAACCCCGACACAAGTTGTCTATTGCTTTTCTAGGAAGAACTTTGATGTATTAAGTACAACAAACCCTTCTACAACTTTCTTTTCAAGTTCTCTTCCTGTATCAATTAGTTCGTGTTGGGTTTTCCTAAAGTGAAGTTCAAAAATCCACAAGTGTAAGTTATAAATACTAACCCCCCCCCCCCCCACCCTCACCCTCCCTCTATTTTCTTACAGGATATATAATTTGCCAGAATCAGTCTTATCTTAGCAAATACTATCCCCGCCCACCCGCCCTCTCTCCTTTTGACGAGTATATCATCTGCCAAAATCAGTCTCATCTTTACAAGTACATACTAGCCTTTTTGCTTTTTTTTCACCTAAATATTTAATTTTTTTCTGTCTATTTTGTTCTAATATTTGAATTTTTTATACCCCTAAGCACATGTTTCTTGCGAAGGGCACATTTTTTATTTTTAAAATTTTATATCTCCTGTACTATGAAGTACTTGTTAAGATAAGACTGATTTTGGCAAATGGTATACTCTCTAAGAAATCAGAGGACGGGTGGGCGGGGCTAGTCTTTGCTAAGATAAGACTGATTTTGGTAAATGATATACCCTCTAAGAAAATGGGGGGGAGCTGGGTTTAGTTTTTTCTACACCCCTTCTTCATTCTAGTGACTACTAGTGATATTGTTCAGTCTTATCTTAGCAAACACTAGCCCCGCCCACCCGCCCTCTCTTTTTTAAAAAGTATATCATCTGCAAAAATCAGTCTGATCCTTACAAGTACTAACAACACCCACCCGCCCTTTATTTTCTTAGGGGATACGTCATTTGCCAAAATCAGTCGTACCTTAGGAACTACCAGCACCGCCCTCTATTTTCTTAGAGGATATGTCATTTGCCAGAATCATATATTAAGAAACAAAAAAGCAAAATATAAGTCCCGCCCACCCGCCCTATCTCAATTGTGATTTTTTTTAATTGTCGTGAGACAGGGGTGGAGCTTAATTGCAAAATGGTTATTTTTCTGCAAGATTTTACCATCTGAAACATGTTCTTAAATAATCGTATTGTTCAAAGAAAACTCTAATTAATAATAATTATTATTAAGTAAAAAAGAAAGCCAAAGATTAAGCCCCACCTATATCCGCCCCGATCTCAATTATGATAAATTTTTCATTGGTTATCAGACCGAGGGGCGGATCGTAATTGCAAAATCTATATTTCGCTTCAAAAACTTACCATTTTGAACATATTTTAAGAATTTTATTACGAAAAGACGAACGTACAATTGGTTCTCAAGATATTTAACAATTTCCATACATTCTAGCGATCCTGCATAAATGTGTATCTGAAAAAATCCTTTTATTTGAAATCTACTTGTTTTGCCTCTTTGTTTATTTTTGATTTTGAGTGCCCTTTTTTCATTTTTTTGACCTAAATCTTTTACTTTTTTTTGTTTATTTTCTTCTAAAATCTGAATTTTTTATACCCCTAAACACATGTTTCTTGCAAAAGGCACATTTTTTATTTTTATTATTTTATATCCCCTATACTATAAAGTACTTGCGAAGATAAGACTGATTTTGGCAAATCATAAAGCCTTTAAGAAAATAAGGGGCGGGTGGGCGGGGCTAGTATTTGCTAAGATAAGACTGATTTTGGCAAATGATATACCCTCTAAGGAAATAGAGGGGGGGCTACTTTGCTAAGGTAAAATTAATTTTGGCAAATGACATTCCCTGTAAAAACAAAGGGCGGGTGGGTGGGGCTAGTACTTGTAAAGATGAGACTGATTTTGGCAGATGACATATTCTTTAACAAAAGAAAGGGCGGGTGGGCGGGGCTTGTATTTGCTAAGATAAGACTGATTTTGGCAAATGATGTACCCTCTAAGAAAATAGAGGGGGGGGGGCTACTTTGCTAAGGTAAGACTGATTTTGGCAAATGACATTCCCTCTAAAAAACAAAGGGCGGGTGGGTGGGGCTAGTACTTGTAAAGATGAGACTGATTTTGGCAGATGATATATTCTTTAAAAATAGAGAGGGCGGGTGGGCGGGGCTTGTATTTGCTAAGATAAGACTGATTTTGGCAAATGATGTACCCTCTAAGAAAATAGGGGGGGGACTACTATTTGCTAAGGTAAGACTGATTTTGGCAAATGACATTCCCTCTAAAAAACAAAGGGCGGGTGGGTGGGGCTAGTACTTGTAAAGATGAGACTGATTTTGGCAGATGATATATTCTTTAAAAAAAGAAAGGGCGGGTGGGCGGGGCTTGTATTTGCTATGATAAGACTGATTTTGGCAAATGATATTCGTAAAGTGAAGTTCAAAAGTGTAAATGTGTTTTAAGTTATAAGTATTAACCCCGCCCATCCTCCCTCTATTTTCTTAGTGGGTATATCATTTGCCAGAATCAGTCTTATCTTAGCAAATACGAGCCCCGCTCACCCGCCCTCTCTTTTTTAAAGAGTATATCATCTGCCAAAATTAGTCTCATCTTTAGACAAGTACTAGCCCCACCCACCCACCCTTTATTTTTATTAGAGAATACGACATTTGCCAAAATTAGTCGTACCTTAGGAACTACCAGCACCGCCCTCTATTTTCTTAGAGGGTGTGTCATTTGCCAGAATCATATATTAAGAAACAAAAAAGCAAAATATAAGCTCCGCCCACTCGCCCGATCTCAATTGTGATTTTTTTTTAATTGTCGTGAGACAGGGGCGGAGCTTAATTGCAAAATGCTTAGTTTTCTGCAAGAAATTACCATCTGAGACATGTTCTTATATAATCGTGATGTTCAAAGAAAACTCTAATTATTATTAAGTAAAAAAGAAAGCCAAAGATTAAGCTCCACCTACACCCACCCCAATCTCAATTGTGATGAATTTTCATTGGTTGTCAGACCGAGGGGCGGATCGTAATTGGAAAATCGATATTTCACTTCAAAAACTTGACATTTTAAACTTATTTTAAGTATTTTGTTATGAAAAAAAGAACGGACAATTTGTTCTCAATTCCGTTTCCATAGATTTTAGCGATCTTGAATAAATGTGTTTCTCAGAAAATCCTTTTATTTGAGCCCTACTTGTTTTGCTTATTTGTCTATTTTTGGTTATGAGTGCCTTTTTTTCATTTTTTTTTCATGTAGATGTTTTACTTTTTTCTGTCTTATTTTGTTTTAAAATCTGAATTTTTTATACCCCTAAGCACATGTTTCTTGCAAACGGTACATTTTTTATTTTTAGTATTTTATATTTCCTGTACCATAAAGTATTTGCAAGATAAGACTGATTTTGGCAAATCATATACCCTCTAGGAAAATTGAGGGCGGGTGGGCGGGGCTAGTATTTGCTAAGATAAGACTGCACAATATCAAGAGTAGTCACTAGAATGAAGAAGGGGTGTAGAAAAAACTGTCGACAATTCATTAACACAAATTGGGGTGAGCTGGGTTTAGTTTTTCTATACCCCTTTTTCACTGTAGTAACTACTTGTGATATTGTTCAGTCTTGTCTTTGCAAACACTAGCCCCGCCCACCCGCCCTCTCTTTTTTAAAAAGTATATCATCTGCAAAAATCAGTCTGATCCTTAGGAAGTACTAGCACCGCCCCCTATTTTCTTAGAGGGTATGTTATTACCAGAATCATATATTAAGAAACAAAAAAATAAAATATAAGCCCCGCTCACCCGCCCTATTTCAATTGTGATTTTTTTATTGTCGCGAGACAGGGGTGGAACTTAATTGCAAAACGCTTAGTTTTCTGCAAGAAATTACCATCTGAAACATGTTCTCAAATAATCGTGTTGTTCAAAGAAAACTCAAATTATTAAGTAAAAAAGAAAGCCAAAGATTAAGCCTCACCTATATCCGCCCCGATCTTAATTGTGTTAATTTTTCATTAGTTGTCTGACCGAGGGGCGGATCGTAATTGCAAAATCCATATTTCGCTTCGAAAAGTTACCATTTTAAAGATATTTTAAGTATTTTGTTATGAAAAGACGAACGTACAATTGGTTCTCAAGATATAAATATCTAGCGATCCTGTATAAATGTCCTACTTGTTTTGCCTATTTGTCTTTTTTTCATTTTTTTAACCGAAATATTTTATTTTTTCTGTCTATTTTATTCTAAAATATGAATTTTTATACCCCTAAGCACATGTTTCTTGCGAAGGCCACATTCTTTATTATTAATATTTTATATTTCCTGTACTATAAAGTACTTGCTAAGATAAGACTGATTCTGGCAAATGATATAACCTCTAAGAAAATAGGGGGGGGGGGGGTAGCAGAGGGCGACTAAAAAATTTCGATTTGGGTATTTTCCAGAAAAATCTAAGCTTCTGATTGGTGATATTGTAGTGACTTAAGTTGCCAAGCTGTTAAGTTCATAGAATTGTATGGTTAAATTTGTTAACATAACCTCAAAATAGTTTGTTTACCGTAAACCGCGCAGCCCTGCCGCCCGGTATCGGGCAGTTCCGTTTGGTGGACCCGTTTCATTTCGAATATTTCACTCTCACTGGTACACCCTCATTGTGACTGACTCTGTACAAACCTGCACACGTGCGGAGCCACCTGTAACTAATTCCTAATTTCTGTGTAACCGAATGCAGCAGTGTTGCATTTACTAACGACTGGAAAGCCCCCTTTTTGACATACCTCCGGTATGTGACACTGTCTGGTCAGGTACACGCTACAACGTCTACGTCTACTCTCACCCTGTCTAGTGGATAGTTGTAGTCGGCTCACCTGAACTAACAAAAGAGCTTTTGCTTGAGTGATGCTATAGCATGTTGTTCCTCTGCATTTCAGCAACCGACTGTGTTTCAGACGTGGGTCCGGCGTCTGTAATCGTCGGAAATCTCGTTCAAGGTAATAGGCTCGCTAGCGCGCAAGGTAGGGACATTGGAGGTCTCGACGAGGAGAGCGATTCCTCGAAGAAGGTAGCGCGGTGACGTAACCTCACGCACCCGGTCGTCATTTGTTAATCGCTGTTGCAGCAGCAGTTCATCGCCGAGATCCTGCGCTGGAGGGCGCAGTGCACCTCCGACCACGTGCTCTTCACCCTCCTGAACAGCAAGGGCGCGGTGGCGAAGGTCCTGTCCTGCTCCGAGTTACACAAACGGGCCGAGCGCATAGGCAACCTGCTGAACGAGAAGGGCCGGATCAACACCGGCGACCACGTGGCCCTGATCTTCCCGCCCGGCCTCGACCTGATCTGCGCTTTCTACGGCTGCCTCTACATCGGCGCGGTCCCGGTCACCATCCGCCCGCCGCACCCGCAGAACCTCCAGACCACGCTGCCGACGGTGCGCATGATCGTCGACGTCTCCAAGTCCGTACTGGTGCTATCCACGCAAGCTGTGATCAAACTGCTTCGATCGAAAGAAGCTAGTAATGTGGTGGATATTAAATCCTGGCCGGCGATTTTGGACACGGACGACATGCCTAAGAAGAAGTTGCCCGTGGTTTATAGAGCGCCGACGGCGGAAATGTTGGCTTATCTTGATTTTAGCGTTTCGACGACGGGGATGCTGGCCGGGATCAAGATGTCGCACGCTGCGGTCACTAATTTGTGTAGGAGTATGAAACTAGCATGCGAACTGTATCCCAGTAGGCATATAGCGCTTTGTTTAGACCCGTATTGTGGACTAGGATTCGCACTGTGGTAAGTACTATTTTGATATAAGGGAAATTGTCGCCTGAGAACTTGTTTGATCCACAGACCGGAGCGCGCTCAGGCCAATCTCGCTCTAAGCGTTCAGAATTTCTGCGAGAAATAGTTATTATTTAGATGCTTTTATCTACAAACATATATCGATTTTGACATGCAATTATTTTTTGTTTTTGTTTAACTAAGAGTTAATTCTGTGTTTGATACTAACAAAACGTCAGAAATTAGCAATACTAGAGGAACCGTAATCATGCAATAGATTTTGTTCTATTTTGTATTAATTTCACATATTTTTAGTCACAACTTTGGTAGTTAGTTTTTACTTTTACTTTTAGCAAGAACGCTAAAAGTGATCGAAAAACCGAAAAATTGAAAAATTGGATTATAAAATTTTAAAAATCGAAAAATTAAAAAAGAACATGAATTGAAAAGTTCCTCAAACTGATAATTGATAATGTTGACAAAATTGGGAAATCGACAACTTGAAAAATCTAAAAGTCGAGAAGTTGAAAAATTGAAAAACAGAAATATTGAAGAACTGAAAAATCAAGAAATCGAAAAACGTAAAATTTAAAATATTGAAAAACTGTAAAATCGAGGAATCATGGAAAAATAAAAAAATAAAAATTTCAAAATCTAAAATTTACAAATCGAAAAATGAAAAATTGAACTATAGAAGAGTAACTGAAAACGCGATAAATCGAGAAACCTACAATTTTAAAAACTGAAAACTTAAATATCGAAAAGTTTGAGAATCGAAGTATAAAACAGTCGAAAATTTGAAATTTGTGAAGTTTAAAAAACGAAAAATTGAAAATCCAAAAAGTAAAAAGTCGAGAAATCGAAATACATATATCAAACTTGAAAAATCGAAAAGTCAAAATAATAAAAAACCCCAAAACTCTAGTATCGATAAATTGAAAAATTCAAGAAAAATTGAAGAATCGAAAGTTTGAAAAGTCAAAAACTGAAAAATCGGAACTTTGGGAAGTCGAAAAATGGGAAAATCAAAAAATAGATTCATTGAGAAATCCGAAAACTGAAAATTTAGAAACGTCAAAATTTGAAAAATCGAAAAGCCGAAAAGTGTAAAATTTAAATGAAAAATCATAATATCGTAAAATTGAAAAATGGTGAAATCTAAACATCAAAAAATCAAAAAAAATAAAATTCGAAACATCGAAAAGCCGAAAAGTAAAAAATCGAAACATCGAAAAATTCAAAAACTGAGACATATAGAAATTGGAAAATCAAAAGAAGGAGAAATCGAGGAGTCGAAAAGTCGAAGTTAAAAATGGAAAATTGATAAATCGAGAGATTAAACAATCACGACATCGAAACATACGAAGCTCGATAAATTGAGGTCTCAAAAAATTGAAAAACCGAAAATTAAAAAATTCGGGAATTTAAAAAATTAAAATATAGAACCGAAAACTCGAGGAATTGAAGAATCTAGAATTTTAAAAACTGAAAAATTGAAAAATTTAAAGTTTAAAAAACGAAAAACTGATACTCCAAAAAATAAAAAATCGAAAGATCCAGAAGTCGAAAGATCGAAAAGTTGAAGAAACAATCTACTGAAAAATCCCAAAACTGAAAGAAATATCCAAAAATTGAGAAATTAAAACATTGAAAAATTGAGAAATCGAAAAACCAAAAAAGCAAAGTCGAAAAATCGAAGAATTGAAGAAATGAAAAATAGAAACTTGGAGAAGTCGAGAAATGACAAAATCAAAAATAGATTAATTGAGAAATTTTAAAAATGAAAATTTAGCAACATCAAAATTTGAAAAATTATAGTATGACGGAAGAAATGAAAAATCAAAAAATCGAGAAATCGAAAAATCTAAAATTTAAAACATTGAACAATTAAAATATCGCAAAATTTAAAATTCGAAAAACAGAGAAATCCAAAAATCGAAACATCGAAAAATTCAAAAACAACCATCGATAAATCGAAAAATCAGAGGATCGAGAAATCAATGAGTAGAAAGCGGAGAATAAAAGTTAAAAATTGAAAAATTGATGAATCGAAAAATTAAAAAATTGACAAATCGAAAAACTAAAAAAAATGGAAAATCGAAAATTTAAAAATAGGAGAACTGAAAACTCGAGAAATCAAAAAACCTAGAATTTTAAAAATTCAAAAATTAAAACAAAAAATTTTAAAAATATAATGTTTAACGAAAAATTGAAAATCCAAAAAGTAAAAAATCGAGAAATCAAGAAATCTAGGTGTCCAAAAATCGAAAAGTTGATATTTTGAAAAATCCCAAAACTGAAAGAAATATCAAAAAAACTGAAAATTTAGAAACATCAAAATTTGAAAAATTAAAAAATCGAAACATCGAAAAATCAGAGGATCGAGAAATCAAGGAGTAGAAAGCCGAGAATAAAAGTTAAAAATTGAAAAATTGATGAATCGAAAAATTAAAAAATTGACAAATCGAAAAACTAAAAAAAATGGAAAATCGAAAATTTAAAAATAGGAGAACTAAAAACTCGAGAAATCGAAAAACCTAGAATTTTAAAAATTCAAAAATTAAAACATAAAAAATTTTAAAAATATAATGTTTAACGAAAAATTGAAAATCCAAATAGTAAAAAATCGAGAAATCAAGAAATCTAGGTGTCCAAAAATCGAAAAGTTGATATTTTGAAAAATCCCAAAACTGAAAGAAATACCAAAAAAACTGAAAATTTAGAAACATCAAAATTTGAAAAATCCAAAAATCGAAACATCGGAAAATTCAAAAACAACCATCGAGAAATCGAAAAATCAGAGGATCGAGAAATCAAGGAGTAGAAAGCCGAGAATAAAAGTTAAAAATTGAAAAATTGATGAATCGAAAATTTAAAAATAGAAGAACTGAAAACTCGAGAAATCGAAAAACCTAGAATTTTAAAAATTCAAAAATTAAAACATAAAAAATTTTAAAAATATGTTTAACGAAAAATTGAAAATCCAAAAAGTAAAAAATCGAGAAATCAAGAAATCTAGGTGTCCAAAAATCGAAAAGTTGATATTTTGAAAAATCCCAAAACTGAAAGAAATATCAAAAAAACTGAAAATTTAGAAACATCAAAATTTGAAAAATTAAAAAATCGAAATATGTATGTAGAAATCGTAAAATTGAAAAAATCCAAAATTGAAAAATCTAAAGTTGAAAAATCGAGAAGTCCAAAAGCCGAAAAATCTCAATACAAATTCAGGACTACCCAACTTTTTAACATTCAAGTAACATTTGTTTTATTCGACAAAATTGTAAAATGACATCATTAATTCTGAGGCGCATCAACGGATATAACTCTTGACTAACGATTTAACATGCTTCTAATAACAATAAATGGGAAAATGTTTTTTTTTCCAAAAATCTTCACATCGAAGATAAAAACTCAACACGGCTTCATAAATCATAAACGGAGGATATAAAATTTAAATTACATCTACTATTACAAAATTTGGAAATTACTTAATTTCATTGTCGGTGACAAATTTTGGTGAGCGTTTTACCATTTGATATTACAATTTGCAATGTAAATTTTGTAATTCGAGAACATTATGTATTAAATCGTTAAGATGTTCACTTATTCGTTGTAAAGTCCGACCAGATGGTCGAAACGGGTTAGTTCTCCGTAGTAGATGTGTATCAGATCAGCTCTAATGAAAGTAAATCGCTTAGAGTCGATATTGGCCTGAGTGCGCTCCGCTCTGTAGATCAAACAAGTTCTCAGGCGACGAAATGGTGGTGGCGTGGTAGACTTTTTTGAATCTCCTACAATTTATTCCTTTGTGAATTTTATTGAATTTTCCATCCCAGACGGGACTTCCTGTAAGTGTCCTAAGTGCAAAATTTAGTGCGTCTGGTAGTTATCGTTACTAAGATACATTTGTTTACTGGATTTAGCATATCACTTTTTTTTTGCTTATCTTCTCCTTAAGGCGATTCTTCAAATAGCTCCACAAAAAAAGTCAAGAGGTGTTAAATCTGGTGACCTGTCAGGCCACTCAATAGTACCCCTTTGGTTTATCCATCTGCCAGGAAAAATTTCGTTTAAGTACTGTCTCACTTGACGTCCAAAATGGGGTGGCGCACCGTCTTGTTGAAAACATAGTTTCTGCTGGTAACTTCAGATTTTGTATGGGTGAAACTTTTCCTTTTTCATTATTGTTTGACGTTTTGGGATTTTCTGTTGCGTCTAGAAAAACATTAAGGGCATTTTCATTATTTGTAGCAGTTTTTGGCGTGCTAGGTTTTGGACGTTTTTTAACACTTCCAGTTTCATTAAATCTTCGTTTTTGAAACCGTCGACTTAGAAATGGGTTCTCGCTCAGGATGAATTTCATTGAAAAGTGTTACTACTCGAGCGAAACTTCGTTTTTTGTCACCGTAACCGATAATTATTAACTATGTCATTTTTTTTTATTTATTCTTATTTAAAATAATTTATTTTGCTATTTCAATCAAAAAGAAAGTGTGATTGTGCTACATCGATGAATCCAGAAACAAAAAACTCTATTCAAAAATGCATTAATTATATCGAAGTGCCATTAAAAAAAATCTCGAAAAAAATGCAGCAAAAAAAATGTTTTACGAATAATAATTAGAGCACAACTTCTTGGTACCCCTATAGCTAATTTCAATTGATTTGTGCAATTGGTTCTCACGTTATTTAACCGTTTCCATACATTCTAGCGACAGCGACATGTACATAAGTAGCAAATTAAAATCGTTATCCCACGATCATCTTTTTGAAAACCGTCGCAAACGCCACTAAGCTCGAAAACGTCCGCCCTGAGTGATTCTCCGCTCAGTCTTGTATTTTAAATCCTCTTACTTTGTCGTCGCCTTAATTAAAATTTGCTTCCTCTCACGAACTAATGTACATAGACGTGGCAATTAACTTCTTGTTATTTCAAAAAGCAACATTCATGAGTGATATTAAAGTGTCATCCAAAGTTAAGTTCCTCAAGTGACACGGGCTGTTTCGTC